AAACCTGCAAACCTTTTGATGGCAACGATTTTTCCACGATAGCTTCCTTTGTAGACTTTGCCGAATGAACCACTTCCAACTGCTTCCTTAAATAAAAATAAAGGATCGTAATTAGGTACGAACTCGCTGAAAGTATACCTGGAAGTCGAATGTCTGCTAAAGACAGGTGAAACATCGGTGGAAGTGCTGATCGCAGCTGTAGAACCTCGGCCTTCTCTCTTGTCATTGATCGTAGTCGACCCATTGGTGAAGGTAGCGGTGTGTAGGAGGAATCTCCAGAACTGGAAAAGTTGCTCAGATTTAGGTAGCCCTCTTGCTTGTTAACTGTCAGCCTCATAGTTCAACACTAAAGATGGATGTGAGACTACCAAGAGTACACGGAGAAGTGTGAGTAGGAGACGAAGACAAGGAAGAGTTTTGCATGGAAGGCAGTGGCAAAGCAGTACGCCATAAAGGTTTTCTACGAGTGGATAAAGCCCACTCAGACTTGCATTCATTTGGGGATGGAGAGAGTGGATTACAGTTTTACCAAATCCATACCTGTACTCGCTGCAAACATCGGCATCAGGTCGCTTGTTAGCGTACTGCTTCAACAAAGCTACAATACGGTCATGACCTTTCTCGTATGCCCAGATCACTGGTGTCTGTTGATCCTGAAAACCATCAAATTTTTCTATCTCCTTTGTCGCTACTGACTCTGGGAAGGTGCAAGAAAATCGTGAAGTAAGGACTTACCTCAACTGAAACCACCGAGTCTCGCGATGATATTCCTGATAGGGTTTCGGGACGATTTAGGGCCATAATAGCGGCCGCGAATGTCGATTGTGCTGAAGGCATTTGTTGTACGGAAAGCGTGTTTCAGTTGATTGAAAAGACCAACTCACGTGTCCGCTGAACTGCTGCCGGTCTTTCGTTTGTACGTGCTGCAAGTGACTGATCGGCACCATTTTCAAGGAGATACTGTACAATTTGCAGATGTCCATGGTAGCATGCCGAATGCAAGGCTGCAATTGACAGATCCAATATGGAAACATTGAATGTACTCAAAAATGCTTGGATGATGGGTGCTTTATAGTAAGGAAGAGTGGAAGTGGAGTCAACCGTGCGTTGCGCACATTTCAACCTTTCCCACTCCCTCTTCTTTACGGTCTCGATACAACCCACTACCACACCACCACCACCATGAGCCTTAATAGACTCCCTCACATGACACCTCTCCCACCATCATGATAATCTCTACATTATCAGTGGACATGCTCTTACTTCGCCCCATTTCTTCCTCCGAATTAGCCGTCAAGCGGGTGGAGGGGAAGAGGAGAGAAAACTCCTTGAACAAGACCTCCCTCCTCACGCGACCTTAACTTCAAGAACAACACATCCTTCTTCCACCTTTTGACCGTCAACCCAAAATGCGATTCTCCTAGTTGAGTATCTCGAACGCACGTTGACTCCAGAGATGGGTATAAGTAATTGGCGCTGGTTATCACGCGCATGGCTTGGGGATCAAACTGCACCATGCGCCAACTGAGATTACAGAGCCTTCTACATATACCATTTGGGCCGGTGGAATAGTACCATACTTGTCTAAAATTCGAAACACTGAATTGCGACTTTATTATTGCTTTTATGCCAAAGAGTTGTATAGAAGGATGGAAGGATATTTATTCACCCTTCGTTCCGACAAAATCGTCATTTTAAAAGACCCCAACTCCACCAGCGCAATTCTCAACACTCTGTTCGGCACAGAAGCGATAATTAAGTGTTCAGGAACATAGATTATGGAACGACGGACTTGGAGAACATACTGTCTTGAATGTGCTGGCCGCACCCATTCATTGCACAGATCAATATCACACTCGAGGCAGCACACGACTCATTAATGAGAGGCAAATACTTGCGCATTTCATGAAGGATTGATTAGCTTAATCCTCCATCCTTTTATCAACTATTGGTAATAACACTTTCAGGAACCACATTTTGTTACTACCCCTAAGTAACGACAGTCATCTCAAAAGCAGCGACACGACAGGAACCCTTATGAATACCGTGAGGATAGAGCTCAACGGACTCGTATAACTGCGTACAAAATAAGTCGCCGGTGAAACTCCAGTTCGGGGGGGGGGCCACTCCATTTTTTCTCCAATACTCAAGATAAGGATTAGAGGGCTCACGACACGTAATCGACTCATTTAAAGTAGACTTCTGATAAATATTGGTGTAATGGGTGAGAAACCCTGAAACGTTTTCACATTTCCGCCTGCCATGACCCAAGGGAACGGTCCTGGACCAGGAGAAAGGACACCTCCGCAAAGGGCTAAGGGTGCAGGAGCTCCAGGGTGGATCACCTGTGCAGAAAAGTGGATGGGATGGGCAGGTAGTGTGGAATGTAGGACATCCACCGGTCCTTATCAAAAGTACGCTCGAAATGAGTCGTTCACTTATTATCTTATCCGTAGTGTTCGATAGCCCAAAGAACTGCTCTCTAGTACTACGGATAAGATAGCAATGGAGTGCCCCCCCCCCGAACTGGAGTTTCACCGTCGCCGTCTAGGACTACTTTTCAGTACATAAGGTCGCATACCTGTGTGCCCATCTTGGCCTTGTAATGTTGGGGTCAACTCCGGGTTGTTTCATCAGGAACGCGATTAGCTCGATGGAACTTGCCGCCCGTGCATGCCGCATGCAACGGAGTCTCAGAGAACACGTTTTCCTGCAATGAAACTCTATTAGTGCCACTTGATCATTAATAACAGCCACTTTACAACAATGGGTGGAAAGACTGCTCCGGCTTTATACGATCATGCAGTTTTCGTTGTCGTTTCACGGAATCAGAATCGGAATTTGTTAATCGCTGAGGAACGGTAATAGGGTTTTGGCAAGGAGCCTTCACTACCACAACCACGGTCCTTCATCGAATTTGAGTTTTTTCCCTTGAGTTGAAGTCCCATCTGGTCTTACTCAGACCAAACAAAATTTTCTATTTTACCCGGGAACAACCACTTACTGTGTGTTATATACTCGTTTCGGAGGATCGAAGGCAGCGGTTATTCCTAGGTGGAGGGATAGATCCCAATTACCCACTCGTTCTCAATAGCTCCGGATCGAAAGGAAGTGCATGCCATTCCATCCTGGGATTCCTTCAAGTCAATTGAAATGTTGTTCAAACATGATGTGTCAACTTGGAATAAGCGTCTTTTTTGCGTAGTACTGTGCTCGCTCCGACATTCTAGCTCTCAGGAAATGTGGTCAAAAGTTTGTTGGCGTTCGCGGTGTGTCTGCGGGGTTGTCGCAAAAACCAGGTGGTTTTTCGCTGCTGCAGCATGTCCGCAATCACCTCTTTCAAAAAGAGAAGCTAACCATTCAACTGTTATTGTTCGATCTGACAAGACCGAAGTGTTTAGGCCCCAGGATGCAGCACTGGCCCTGCCCAACACCATTGACGCCACCCAAAACCAGTGCTATTTTGCTTCGTCCCCGGACTTGACCTTCGAGTGGGAAAAATTCCCAAGAACAACTCACCGAAACCATCAGATGTGAACCGGCAGCGGCAATGAGCGCTTTGGTGGCATCCAGTCGCCCACCGTAACATGCTAGGTGGAGCGGAGTGTCGCCATAGACGTTGCGCGTGGCCACGGTCTGGAAATGATGTACTAGCTATGAACGTAATCGTGGAAAATAAATGCAGTTACATGCTATAAAACATTTGGCAAGGCAGTAGCGCGATTTCGCAGGCATGAGTTCAGCAAACTCGATCTGTGCTCATCCTTTCAAAGACATCAGTACCTCCGACAAATTGCTGCTGCTTTTAAGAAGGATGTTCAGCACTGCCATGTGACCGGTCTTGGCAGCGAAATGTAGCGGCAGGTTTCCCTCGTCATCGGCCAGTTGAGCTGAAAATTGGACATGCAGCTGAAAATTTCTTGGTCTCGTTAAGCAAGGAAAAGGCGTCAGTTAAAAGTTGGGAGCTCGTCGAGGGCTCATCAACTAAGGTGCTGCTTTCAGGCTTTGAAAAAAATTCTACTTGTCAGGGTGATTTAGTTTAATGCAATGAAACATGACCTCTCAGCAGAAACAGCTAATGAAGAGAGAAGTTCAACTGAATGGATGAAAACCCACGATCGGCTCCGGCCTCGAGAAGAAGCGAGGCTATGGCAGAAAGTCCTCGACTAGCGGCCAGATGTAATGGACGATCTTTCACTCCACCGCACACGTTCCCGTCAGCGCCACAGCTCAGCAAGCACCGCACCACCTTGAAAACTCGAGTGCTTATACCAAAGACAAAAGAATGAAATGCTACAGTATTCGGTGTTGACGAATTTCTGTGGGATGGGCCACGCATTCTACTCAAATTCAGAATCGTAGTGGCATTTGGAATACGACTGACCTATGCAATGGCTTGCGAGAGCCAGCCAATGCACAGATCTGCTTTTTGTATCGTCCCAAACAATTTTGTCATAAATCTTCCAAATGCGGAGAAATGGAAGACTTGCGTCGGCCCTGAACGATGCACAAGCCGAGGTTTGATCACGGACCATGGTCGTTGGAGCAGCGTCACTA